GAATTCTTATATCGGGATATGAGATTTTGGTCCTATCGCACAGCCCTAGTTTCAATTAAAACATGAGGTGAAAATGGATTAAACATAAAGTATGAGTAACCAGGAGGTGAGGAAAAGGGGAGAAGAGAATTGAAGAGATGGCCCCATCTCCAGTGCGGTAAAAAAGTGGCTCAAGTTGCTAGACAGGAAATACACACAGGAATGCTCATACTTTTCATACTTTACAATAATTCTTCTGAATTCAAAGCCATTAATGGAGCACCTCATTACCATGTTAACACTGTGCAGAGTGCACTGTAACTGGAGCTCCAGTGAAGGTGAGGACTTGCATGCATATTGGACATTTTAAATAATTCAACAGTTCAACACTGATAAGAGAAGATTTAACAACACTATGGTGCTCTTAACAGTAGCAGTAACACTAAACAGAAGTCCCACTCACTAGTGAAACACATTTAAATACATCTACTAAATTGGGCTCTGAGAATTAATGATCTAGAGTTAAAACTTGTACTTTAAAAACAGAATGCACAGGAAGACCAGACAATACCTTCATCTCTGGAATAATCTTCCCCAGAATGTGGTTCAAACAAGTAGTCCCCTGTGGCAAGCTCAAAGGCCTGAGGACAATACAAACACAGGGAGGGGAAAAAACAGTATGAAGCCATCTGTCCAAATCTCAATAAATCCCTCCCACCACTGACTAGACTCATTACACTACTTGAGTCTTTAACATACAATTAATTTTTTTTTCCTCCTTCAGATAATTTTTTTTGTTCTATTCAGTTTTTGGGGGGAGTTTAAGCACCTTTTGGCACTATATAAATAGTTTGATGCAGAGAAAATTTCTCACCATACAGGCTGTGCTCCAAATATCAGCTGGTGTGCTGTATCCAGAACCAATAAGTACTTCTAAAGACCGGTACTGTCGTGTCTGGATGTCTTCAGTAAAGTGCTTGTGCTGAGAGGAAAAAAGACAAATACGAAAACACAAACGTATATCAAGTAGGTTTCATCATGTGTAGCGATAACACACTGAAAAACAGAAATATTTTACATGAGAATAAAAATTATTGAAATTATAAATGGACTATGCTCTATTTGAAATCTGCATCACACTCCCATCTGGTAAATGATTTCTCATTTAAAACCATAAAAAGCAGGAATACCGAAACATTACTTTCAGTAGCTAGATGACACTCGATGTGTCCCTGGCTGTACCGTTTCATCTCTTATGAGGAAATCCCTGTGGTCATTAGCAGGCTACTCACCACCCAGCAGGCATTTCCCAAATCTGCAATCTTGACCTTGATCTTGTCTGCATTGAGTGGCTCAAGTGGGTTAACTAGCAGGGATCCTGCTGTCAGCTTATCTTTATAAAGCACAGAGAGAAGCAGCGACATTGAATAAAACAATGGGATAAACACTGAATAAATGATAAGTATAATCATAAGTATTTCAAAGTTCACATGGTTTTTGTTAAATTTAGCAGCTCAGCTACAGCAAACAGCATCTAAAAACCCAAACCAATCGATTTCGGTTCACTGACCATTTCTTGCATCTTCCTGGTTTCTATAGTGACAGTTGGACCCATCCTCACCATCTTCTTCTAAAATGCCTTGTTCCAGCTCGCCGTCCTCCAGCCCGGCAGAAAAGCGTTTCTCAGTAACTCCACGGCTACGAGCCCCAGTTCCTTTAGTCTCTGTGTACACCTCAGTGAAATCTGTAGACTCGACACCGTTGTACATGGAGTGCAGAGGAGACTCCACGTGTTGATCCTCTGGAGAGGCACACTGTTCTGTGCACTCTGCATTGCCATTATGTTGGTCTTCATCGCTATGCTGGAAGTCACTCTCCTCCACATGGCCATTACAGTTCATTTCAGACAGTTCCTCTGGTCCCACCCTCATGTGATCTGCATTCAAAGTGCTCCCTGAAAGTAGCAGAAAATGGATTTTCAGTTGATTCATATCAGATTTTTTTGGCTGCTTTGCAAATTTTGCAGAACACATCACTTCTCTGATGTTAGCTTCCTACCATCTGTTTCCTCGTTTCCTATCTCCGCAAAAGACACCTGTCTGAGAGGCGCACAGGCTCGTCCCTTTTCAGTCTGTGGGTCGTCTTCATCTTCATCATCCTCTCGTATCTCTGTGGTCTTTTCCATTTTCTCAAGGTCCAAGATGCACTTCTCCAACAGCTCCGCCTGCCGCTTCTGCTTCTTTTTTAACTTCTTCTTCTTGTTCTTGGACATTTTTACTGTCTGTCAAAGACAAAAACAAAGGAAAGGTTTGCACATTTGTAGGACTGATTTAAAAGTAAACTAAAAAAACAAAACAAAACCTAAAAACATATGAGGCTAATATCTAAGCAGAGAGTAAAAAAAACAAAACAAGTCTTGTACCTGTTTTGGAACTGGCGCTGTGCTTACTGTAAAGAGAACACGAGATAAGTAAAAACCTGTACTAAACCTATGAATGCAGATATAAAAGTGAGTGTGCATGCACATCTCATACTCGCTGAACCAGAGGGAGGAGGCGCCCCAGCCTTCTGCCACTCTGTGGCCTCAGCTGCAAGCCTCCGTACGTAAGGCTCATCTACGCTCATCAGGATGTTCTCCGGCTTGATGTCCGTGTGGATAATATGACACTTTGTGTGCAGGTAGTCCAGACCTTGGAGAACCTTAAAAAAAAAAAAATACATTAATGGAAAATGGTTATCTGATTGTGTAGATCAAATTAACCAATCAGACTGACTTGGACAAAAAACCTTTACCAACTAAACTTAAGGAAACTTTAAAAAGAAAAAACATATTGCGTCAATTTTCAGGTTTTTCTTTTCTTGGAAACAAATATACTAGCTTTGCACAATTCAGAGTTCATAAATAATCCTTATTAATCGCATTTGGCTTTGCTGCAGTCCCTCAGTTTATCCTCTCTGAAACACAATATTTTAGCTCTTCTCCCTTTAAAGCAAAGGAGCCAAGACTAGGAAGTATTAAAAAGAATCCCTAGGGCAGTCTGAAGCCAGAGTGTTTGGTTTGTAGTTAATACACAATGATACTATCACTATTTTAAACCTTAGTGGTGCTTATTGAAAATCCATCCATGTAACAAACACAGCATATAACAGAACATAAAGAGAAAGCATAAAAGGGTCCCTTTAAGAGAACACAAACGCTTAACAATCTAAGAAAATTTTAATAAAAGGAACATTTGCTGTTTTTCACAGGACATTGAATAAAAAGCTGTGGAATAAACAACACTAATCCACAGATGAGCTGTGCAATTAACTGCTGAATTAGTCATTTGTTTAACCATGAAAAAAAGCCCCCTCAGTTTTGCCTCACTCCCCATCTGTTTTGTTAAGCAGCTTACTGTTAATATGTAAAGTTCTTCTACCCTGTTTTCCATTCATCGTGCAGCCTGCAGGCTACACAACTCTTGTGAACTACTGAGCCTTAATGATGAGTCATAGGCATTCAAAAGGTGTGCCTGTGGGTCTCACTTTACCTGTCGTATGATGCTCTTCACACAAGCCAGGGGCAGTCCTTGGTAGTTTGATTTTATTATCCATTTCAATAAGTGATGTCCTAACACCTCAAACACCATGCAGACGTCTGAAGATTGGAGCAGTTAAGATGGCAAAGTAATAGCGGTAAAGCAAAATTGAAAACAAACAAAGGAAAAAACAACTGCCTAAGTGAGGAGTGGCATTGCTTATGCTGAAGACAGGACACGTAGATGTGCAACCCATACGCTTTTGTTAGAGGCTCTCGTGTTACAGCTACAGCAATCCCTCAGGCATTCAGGGGATCTTACCCAACTAAAGTGTTGTGAAGGGGGTGGAGGTCTGTTTGGGACACATAAGATTCCATTTGTCACACCCTCACCTGTTGTTTATTTTCTTACTTGCATACGGCTTTTTAGCCGACATGGACACGAAGGGAAAGAAAGTTCTGTACATTCAAAAAAAACAAACAAAAAAAAAAACATTTCTAATAAAACTGAAGTTGTTGTTTTGGGGTCTTTTCCCCCTCCCAGCAGGAGGTAATTTGACAAATCAAATGTGACTAATAATAAAAACCAGGGAACATCTGTTATATCTGCCTGTGAAGGATACGAGTTCCATTGACGCCAGAGATCTTGAAGTCATCTAGAAGCTGGACTACCATCTCTCGGTTGGGATCATTCGTGTCAGAGTTTCTTACCTACAGACGACGAGAAAAAAAATTTATATATATGTATGTGTGTGTGTGTAAAAGCTGTAGTGTAAGCAATGCCCTGCTGTCCTTGCACCACGTTGCTGTACACTCTGATGCATCTCCAGATATCCCCACAACTAATTAGTGAACACTTCCTGCGCTTACTGATTACATATTTCATCAAAACCTACTCTATGCAATTAAATCTGATACTCACAGATCTGAGCAGTTTTATCTCATCCAGTGCTGTTTCTGTGTAGTGCTCCGCGCTCTTCACCACCTTCATTGCAACAAACCTCTTTACCCTGCAACCACAGAATGTAATGTTCACTAAAAGGAAGCAAAGTAAACAGTCTCTGAGCCAGCTGCTGCTGCATCTGGAATCCAATGTCAAGTCTCAAAAAGAAAACATGAATTACAAATATGCAGTTAAGTTTTTCTCATACTGAATATCCCAGGCGAGCCACACGGTGGAGAAGTGTCCCCAGCCGAGCTTCCGAATTACATGGTATTTTCCATTATAAAGGTCTCCTACTTTCACATGGTGGTAGCCACCTAAAAGATAAGAAATTCAAGCTGCTTAGATAAATAAAGAGGTGAGCATGTATGTATGTATACAGAACAGTCAGTGCATTTACATTCACTGTAATAACAGGTCACAACTAACCGAAGCGACACCATTTATTGAAACAGTCAAATCAAATATTGATTTATCTGTTTAAACTAAGGTGTGACTCGCTAATACTCTGGTATCATTTTTCTACTGGGGGAAAAAACCAAACAAACAACAAAAACTTGTAGTAGTTAATCAAATACAGTGCAATATAGTGTGCCTTTGAATGCAAAAAGTAAAGAGGAACCCACCTTTGCAGTAGTCATTGGGGTCCTCCTGCTCTTCATCATCAGAGCCAAGGATCTCTTCAGGTTCCTCAGGTTCCTGAGGGGAAGCTTCAGCCTGAGGATGCTGTCGAGCTCTGGGATTGGCTGGCTGCCTGATGGGACAACAACAATTATGAAAGACATTGATGGAACAGAGTTCTGATGCATTTACCGTCCATTTATCAAATATTAGCTCAACAATAAGGCGTGCCCAGGATGAGAGGATTTTATTACAGGACATGCGGATGAGAATAACTGAACAAGACTGCAGCTCATTGATAACCGATGAGTTCGACTCTTCTACATAGCAGAAAAGAATCAAAGCTCAACCTTTTACTTCCAAAAACTGCTCAGCACTGCAGAAATGGTGAACAGCTGTAGAGTTTAACTTAAACAGATGCATTACAAAGCAGTGGGAACGTTCTCCTGCCTCTCCTGGGATCTGACCTTAATTGGCTGAAAAGTAAGTGGCATTAACTAGCTAGCATTAGCAACTGAGTAATTCACTCTAACACTAATACTTTACTGAACAACATAATCATGTTAGCTAAGCACCAACATAGAGTGTGCCTGCTCTGGATGATCAGTCACAGTGACGGACATAGACGTTTCAAAATCACGTCCTGTATAAACGGCTAACTAGAGACAGGAAGAACTTGCTTATCAGCCAAATTTTTTGTTGCATAAACATAACCCAGATAATACAGCATTTATTAAAAAGCCTCACACACAAAATAATCAAACATGACAAGAACCACTCGTTCTTAAACAGATGACACCAGGGCTGACCGCAAAAAATAAATAATTGGTGCACATTTGGTGTATGTGTAAAGCTACAAATAGACAACTGTTTTATAAATCTATCATAAAGGAGGGTTATAACTGTAAGCATCCACGGTCACATTTCAATCACTGTGAAAATGTGAAATGTCAACAACAAATAAAACTTTACTCCAGGGTAATATGTCATCTTTCATTGCAGACTTCAATTAACCCACAACTACCTCTTTAAAAAATTAAAAATAAAAAATGCATGTGTAATATGAAGAAACTATGAATTAACTTGGGTTGAAAAAACAAAAAAAAACAAAAACACAAAAAATACCACTCCCACTGTGGTTCCTCGAGACTGGCAAACAGGTCTATGCTCTTCCATTGTTGTGGTGTTCATGTCGCATACAAATACTCCACGCATGTTAAGCGGTAACTGATTGTAATTGAAAATGGCAGAAACAGAGTCAAATCATGCAGGTACTAGTGAAAAAGGGCTATAAGAGTTCCTTTCACTGAAACTGAATGGCAGAGCTCAAGTTTTGAAAAAACAACGTCACACCATAATTCCTTCCCCAACTTTATACTTGGCACAATGCAGTCAGATAAGTTCTGTTTCTCTGGCTACTACCAAACCCAGACTCATCCATCAGATTACCAGACAGAGAGAACAGCATGAGTCTTCACTCCAAAGAACTCCACTCCTCTAAAGTTCAGTGGCAGCATGCTTTACACCACTGTATCTGATGCACTGGACTGTACTTGGTGACATGAGGCTTGGATGCAACTGCTCGCTCCTGGAAACCCAGTCCATGACGCTCTCTGTAAACTCTTCTTGAGCTAATCTGAAGGCCACGTGAAGTTGGAATATTTAGTAATGAAGAAATTTCACAACTGGACTTGCTGCACAGATGGCATCCTATCATGGTACCACGCTCAGGGCTCGCAAAATCGGGCTAGCGATTTTTCTGATCGGGCTACCAAAATCCATCTCAGCCCTGCCCGTCAGCCTGTCATAGGAAGAAAAAAATATGTCAATGCTTTTGCATTCTTTCACAAACGTAGCTGTCAGTATGTGACATATTGAAATCGCGTTTGAATTTCCGCTTGTTTTTTGCTTCACTTTCACTTTGCGATGGCGCAAACTGTGAATAGAGAGCGGCAGCTACTGACTGGTGAGGGACAGATTAATTGCGCACCAATTCCTCTGACATTGTCTTATCACTCATTAGCTTACTATTCAAACGTGACAAGTGAAATCTCCCGCAGCAAGCTTAAACATGTGATGCAGGTTGATTGCGCAGAGAATCGCTGATCATTATGCAAGTGCCTGTGTAAAAGCAGATGGATTTACGCAGGTATTTTAGTTCTGCAGAGCCAAATAAGACAGGTCAGGGTGAAGAAGGGACAGCCAAAGAAAAGCCGACCACAAAACGGAAAAATTATGACAAATCAGGCTATGAGGCAAAAACAAAAGCGCAGCTTTTTTTGGTTTCATGGACAAAAGAATTTCTGTGGCTGGAATATGACAAGCTAAATAACATAATGTTCTGTGTGTCTTGAGTTTCCCTCGATTTCTGAGTTGACAAGCACCTTTGTTACTGGGACCAGTAATTTTAAGAAAGACCCCATTAGAACCCATGAGAAATCCAAGAAATGCATTATTGCTCAGTCTGCATTATCTTTCCCAGAACAAACGCCAATTGCAAAAAAACTACTAAAAATAAACCAAGCACAACAAGAAGTCCAGAAGAAACGCAGAAGAAAAAGCTGTTTAGAACAGCGTAACGTTGCAAAGAGTGAACTACCTTTGGCAAAATTTAGCAGCCTTTGCAAACAAAGCAAATGGCCTAGATCTTGGTTCCACTTACCTCTTACCCGTGACTTCAGTGGAAATGTCAGATTCAGGATCTGATACAGACTGATTCATGTCCTACACAGTTCTTACAAGTTCATAGAAATTTCTGTTCAATTAGGACCAAATATTTGAGTTGATGATTGTATTTTTTTTACAGTTGTTGTAATTTGTGTTTTAACAATTTTTTAAGTCAATCAAAAAATTGTCCTCTCTTTTTTTTCAGGCTACTTAAATTTATTTTGGGCTACCAAAAACTGAAGAGTGTCTGCCCGAAGGGCTACCAGAGATTTTGAAATTTTGCAAGCCCTGATGCTGGATTTCACTGAGTTCCTGAGAGTGAGCCACTGTTTCACAAAGTTTTATAGACAGTCTGCAGGTGCCTTATTTTATACATCTATGGACATGACTGGAACACCAGAATTCAATGGCAGAGTGAGTATTTTTGGCATGCAATGTTTTGACATATGACCATTTTTGACCATAAATAAATAAAACAGTTTTGAAGTATTACAGTAGTTTGACAGTTACACTTAACCAAACATAAACCCACATTAAAAGGCAAATATTCGCAAGGCAAAACAATAGAGCAGTAGCAGATAAGTCCATTAAAGTCATAGCAGGCTGTTAATTTGGATCATGTCCCCTTGAAATTAAACCACAAGTTTCAGTGTAATTGCCTCCAGTTTCTTGCTTTGACCTTGTTATCATTAAAGAAAGATTAATGAGCGACTGTTCCAACCAAGTTTAATTAGTTTTAACAAAATAGCAAGGTGTGTCTAAAACTTTGTTTCAAACAAATCTTGCAGCTATCTAAGCAATATTTAACTATTAAAATATTCACAAACAGTTATTATATTAATAAAGACGCCTAAATGTGTAACCGAGCGCTGGCACAGTGACAAACTGCAAGCAGAAAATGTAAACAAATACCATCTAAATCGCTGTCAACAATTTTTTTTTAACTGGATTTGAACATCTGCTTTTAACCATAGTTTAAACCAAAACAAGAAGTTGGCCTATCAAAACAACCCTACCACAATAACACACTGACACGCCTTCTGCCAAGGAATATCACACAACTAAATTAAAGAAAGCATTTAAGGAAACGCGTGCTGCACTCAGCTTAGCAATTCTACTGTCACCATATGTTTGTTTCATTTATTTTACTGCAGGCCTAATGTATGTGTGTGTGTGTGTGTGTCCGCATTATGAAAGACAACATCAACCTTGCTGAATCAGACTGAATACTGAGAAGTTTCCAGAATAAGGGGACAGAAAACTGTGGCTACATTACGAGCAGAAGTACAAGCCTGCAAGCAAATTATGTTCCAAAATTACTAAATGAGTTATATGGTCATTGTGTCAAGCTGTCAGACAAATGAAACGTCTGTGCATATTACATTTTTCAAATATAAATCACTGTGTGCAGACTTTCATTTTGACTAAAACTCCAGCGACAGATTGATCAAACCCAACATAATGGAAAACAGGACAACCAGTTTTTTTCTAAATGCATATTTGAAACATATTTCTGTATATTTTTTTCCATGGCTCTGCAAGCCCTAAATAACAGAACATATTCTTTCCATGTTTATATGTGTCACCGCATACATTCTGGCTTTGCCAGTAATTCGGTTCCTAATATTTACTTGAAAGCCAAACAGCCTGATGTTACTTCCTCTACAGAGCAGATTAAGCCTGCTCATCTCTACTGGAGCCAAGAGAGCAGAGATCACATTCAACTAAATTCCTTCAACTGGGCTGCAGTGTTTCACAAATGAGCTGCTGGTTTTCTACATAATCCTGCAACCTACTTCTTTGTGCCTGACATGGTCAGCTGAAGCGGTGCATGTTTGTCCAAGGATGACAAAATAAACCGATTCAAATAATTACTTGATATGAATCTTGACTTTCTAATCAAGCTTTGAATCTGAAACACATTCATTATATTTTAAGAATTTTAAATCATAAAGCTGGTAAAAACAAGGCAGTAATTTAATACTGATTATCTGTACAGTTCTCGTGTTGTCTGCTTTAACAGTTACATTGCTGCATTATTAACACACTTTAAAACATTTTTTGCATCTTGAGAGGTAAATGCATGGCTTTTCAAATTCCCTTCAAAATGCAAATAAATACATCGTCTAAATTACATACTCACTCGTGCATTTTCATTCACAAAGAGAGAAAGCAGACGAAGCATATTTGAATGCAGAGCCAGTCTCAGTTAGTCATCCTTTCATTATAAAAAGCTTTAATATTGGGTGTGTGCACCTCGTTTTAATGGGTCTCATCCTTTTGGGTGTGAGGACAAATGTCTGATGCACATTTTCCTTCAGACTCTCACAGCACTTCAAAACATTAACCAGTCCACTCCATTATATCCTCTGAGGTTGTTTTGTTCGTCTATACATGCAGTGCTTATTGTGCTAGGATTACTGCAGAATGCAACTGCTCTGCTTTAAGTTGCATTTAGTTTCTTGGTATCACATGATTCTTACGGCTAATAAACCATTCAAGTATGAGCCATGAAGATAACGCTGTCAGGAGGAGAGTAACCTCAATGGTGCTGTTTTCAGTTAAACACCATGCTTCGGTGGGCTGATGTGGGCTTCTTCATTCTCTTGTTTTAAATATAGCACTGGCTGTTATGTAACGCTCTGGAGGATGCCACTGGTGCAGGCATGATTAGTAGATTGTTGGGCACACCAAAACAATCGGTACTGGAGATCAACGCTTGACAGCCCTATTTACAGCAACTAATCATTCAGAAATATTTTCAGGTGATCACAGCGTTTAAGTATTATATTCCAGGTATGGCTTACGGAGCACCCAACACTTGTGTTTTTTGTTTTTTT